AGTGAGATGTGCACATTCCATTTTTCCTGTTATTAGTATTTTAATTGAGCTGAGAACTTCATACCTACTAAGAGACACCCACTGTACATCTTGGGTTATGTATACAGGTTTGGGAACCTGTATAGATGTGTAACTTGGTTCTGTAAACCTGTCCTGCAGATTGGCAGGGACTGGATTTCTTGCTGCACATCTCATGCAATTTCTTAAGAGCTTCCTTTTCTTCTGCTTGAGAACATGTAGTGGTCCACTGGTGAGGAATTCCTCTCTGGGGCTGTGGATGCTCCTCAGCCCTGTCAGCAGACCATCACAGCCCCATGGACCATTCATTTCAATGCAGTAACAGGACTCCAGGCTCAAGTTCGTTCCATCAGAAGAACAAGTGATGGAGAGGGGTTGAAGTTTTTATTTAATCTGACCCAGTTCAGTGTATTTTGGGTAATTCTTCCCTCTCCCCACAGCTCTCTGGCATTCCCCAGATGGGAATGAGCTTTGATCATTTGGCCTGTAATGGGAAACAGCTTCAAAGCAGGGCTGCGTGGGAATGGTGTGGATGACATATAAGCTCAAGATGGAAATTGGGATCTTCTCTCTATTTCTCTTGCTTCAATTTGTACCCATCATTTCTCAACTTTTTTCCCCTTGTGAACTTCTCCAGAGTCCACACAGATTTGTTCTTCAGCTTGAGTATCCTCTGGGTAGGGTGCTTGGCTTTTCTAAGATAGTCTTCCAAGGTTTTACCTAAGGAAGATGACTTTGAGACCTATGTTTTCTCTATTGAGGAATACGAAGATGGTTGTTTCCTCAAATACAAAATCTGGCTCATGGATGATGCAACCACAAGCAGGTTATCCAGGTTCCTCTCAACAGGAGCTGCTGTAACCTCGATCCCACAGGTCTGCAGTCATGAACTCTGGTGGTTTCAGATCATTCAGAGAAAATCTTACCCTTAAAACGATGTTTTTGAGGAATGAAGTCACCAGCTGTGTTCATTTTAACCTGACAATATGGGTAAGACTCTGTCCCCATGTGCGCAGCCGTGTACAAAAGAGATTCCCCCATTCTGTATAATTAATTTACAGTGGATGTCTCTTTTCTGGTGTGCGTTTGAACTCTTTCTTCTTTGTTCATTGTAAAGGGCTTAACGGTTCCTGTTCCTTGATTCTTTCATCAGTGAAATGTTTTGGAAGAGAGGTTAGAGTCCCCTTGTGACCTGCCCTGGGTGGCCCAAGCCTGTAGACCTTGCAAAGACATTACTTTTTTGGCCTGAACACAAGTCTCTCAAACCTTTAGCCTGGCTAAATGCTTTGTACAAACAGGCGCATACTGATCTGCTCTATTCTCTTGTGATTTTCTGCTCAAGGGGCTGTACTGTAGATGGCTTGCTATGTTTGCTGCTTGCCTTGGTAGTGGAGGCAGTACAATAAACGAATCCGACAGTACTGAGGCCAACGCTGTGCATGGTCGTTCCAAGAAAATTATCCTGAAATCTGGTTGAAGAGATTAAAACCAAGAAGAACTGGCTGTGTCTTTCCTCTAAAGCTCTGTTCTCTTCTTTGTTTCTTTTTTCTTCTGTAAGACTTTGTTCATTCTTCCTTCCAAAGAAGTTTGTGGCATTGGTATGTAAACTGTGACCTACGATTACAGAAGGTACGGCTATTTTTATAACAACCATGGGGTGAAGCATTGCATTCATTCCTCCTTGGGCTCCTTCCAGCCAAGTGCTGGAGCAGCTTTCTTCTGAGCCGTGTTCTTGATCTCATTTCTTCTGTAATACAAATAATCTCATACATCATTTCACTTCTTGGATGTCAAGTGCACTGTTAATGCAGTAGAGACTCCAGTCCATTCTTTTGATGAGAATTACTGTTCAAGCAAATGTTGGTTCAAGGCACTACCGCTGTTGTAATGTGTAGTGTTAAAGGGCAGCATCACTCCATAACTCTCCCAGCCTTTCTCCCACGTGGTTCCTCAGTAAGAGACAGCTAAAGGTGAGCTGCTAACGAGCAACCTTGTCTTGGGATGAAATCTGTCTTGGGTCCCTCACAAGCGGATGACAATGGTGATAAATTCACAAGCCTTGTGAAAACATTCAAAGCCTAGTCACAGGCATTTTCTGCTGAGGATGTGAAATTCATGCTTTTGGGAAGACCTTAAATTCCACAACTCCATGTGCACTTCTAAATAGATTCCTAGCAGCTGGGAAGCCCTTCATCCAAAATAGAAGTTTTCTTTCATTGCAGTCCTTTCAGGGTTTCTGTTTTCCAGTGTTTCCCCAAATATAATCAGTAACATGATGTGACCCCACCCTAAGAGGTTTCAGTTTGTTGGGTTCCTCAACCCAGGGATGTCGGCAACACGGAGCTGCCCAGGGCAGTTTCATCTTTTGAGAGGATGCTCAAACACTGTTTCTCACATCTAAATGTTTTTAGCTTCTCAGGTACGTGCTTTTCCAAAGCTGGGGATGTTTTAGGATTGATGTGGTTTTTGGGATAATTTTTCCAGATGAGACAGTGGGGTATAGAGCAAATGTGTAAAGATGATTTATCCCTTTGCAGATCAGAGTCAGAAAGCTCGGGTTAGTCCTCCCTTGCGCGTGTGCTGGCTCAGGCAAGCTGCAGTCAAATTTTATAGCAAGCGTACATTAAAGTGCCTTTACAGCTAGAATTAATTAAAGCAGGTTTTGAGGGTTAAATGTAAACTCACTTTGGACTATTTGCAGCCTGAATATTGTAGCATTGGGCAGTGGAAGTGGCTGAAAGCTGAGCGGCTCCTACCTTTGCCCACTCCTGTCCTGTGCATAGTGGCAAAGTCTATAGGCACAACCATGGATGGTTTCTTGTGGGTTTTGATTCATGCTTTTCCTCTCCAAAATCTAAACGTGAACAGTCACGTACATACTTTCTCTTTCTTATTTTTTATTACTTGTTTCTATTAGTAACACTGGCTAAAAGTAATGATTTTACAGCCTATTTGCTATTGTCCTGCAGCAGTTGTCACTTGACTGATCACTGCAAAGATGAGCGATGGTTTCAATCTTAGAACTCTCCTGGCACCTGAAAATATTAAATACCAAAGCCCTGGATGTCTGAAAACTGGCTGCTGTGCCCCTGGAGGTACAGGTGTCTGTATTGAAGGATGTTCTCCATCCTGAGATTTTAATGGAAGGTGGAACAAGAAAGCTGATAAATAACCCTTCTTTGCTTTCCACAAATAAGGCAGTTGAGGAACAGGGCTGAATTCCCGTGTCTAATTCATTAGTCTGTTCTCATTAGAGCCATGGGGGCTGCTCATATGACTGGGCTGCTGTAGGATGTCTGTAAGAATAGGGTTGCAATTTTCCTTGTTTTGTGGCATCTGCTTGAAAATGAGATAGCTTTTGGAAGGAGATGCATTGAAGGAGAAGACCATCTAGCATGATGTGACTCTGCTTAGCATTTAAGGACAGGACGGGTCCTTCAGTACCTCTATGTAGTCATGGAGACAGAAGGCAAAATCCACCTTCCATATTGCTTAGTCCTCAGCTTTGTGGAGCTGCAAGAGACGGTTTGAGGGTTCCTGCATGGTAAAAACCAGAATAGTTGGGCAGTAATGGGGCATATATAACTTCAAAATCCATATGTTGGTGTGTATTTTCCCTCTTTCCTTCTTTTCTGCCATCACACGTGGTTGCATGTCAAGAAGACATTTTGTTTCAGTGTGCACCATCTTCAGTGTCTGCAGGAGCAGCAAAACTCAGGAGGCAGAAGCTCCTCCTTGAGTCTTCCATGATGTTGAGTTGTGGCTTCACAAATTAGGTCCCCTCGGTGATGAGAAGTTGCATGGAGAGCAGAGATAAACCCACTATTTCTGTAACTAAAGAGGGTGAAAATGAGGTGAAGTAGGGCAAAACCAACCTCAGGAGCATCTTCAGAAGATGCACTGGAATATGTGCAGCGATTGGCTTCATGAGCGCTACCAAGTAAAAGCTGTTAAATGCATGAAAAGCAGAGGTTCTCTAGTGTGGATTCATGCAAGATCCATTCTTTAATTTGAAGTTTTCTTGTGAGGGTGCTGAGGCACTGGAACAGGCTGCATATTGGACTTGTGGCTGCCCCATCCCTGGCAGTGTTCAAGGCCAGGTTGGACACAGGGGCTTTAAGCAACCTAGTCTGGTGGAAGGTGTCCCTGCCTCTGGCAGAGGGTTGGAGCTGGAGGAGCTTTAAGGTCCCTTCCAACCCAAACTATTCTATCAATTTAAGCCCCCCTTAGTGGTTTTAGACTTGGTTTAAATAATGGCTTAGAAGAAAAACAAACGTCTTAAGTATGACGTTTTGGCCAGGTTACACTGGAAGGAGGGAAATGTGGCCTTGGAAATATTCTCTTGGCTTTGGGAACCAATGGTATTCAGTTGTCAGATGTCTTCATCCAACAGAAATAAATATGCCACAGAATGGCCGCGATTCTTCCCATTTGGGGTGACCGTGCTCCGGCAAGACGCACACCCCAGCAGATAATGCAAAGATCTGCTGCCGAGTAATTAATGACAGGGCCGGGCATATTTTTTTGATGAATGCTTATGGGGCCTGGTGACAGGCGTGAAATTAGAAAATTCCTTCAGCGCCCTAAAATATAAATAGCTTTCGGAACTGAAAAGAGTTTCACAGCTGAAGATTTTATTGTGTGGAGAGGAAAAACTTTTCCACCCCCATCCCCCCCTTTCTTCTCGGCGAGTTGTTTGTCCGTTCACAAAACAAATACTCTGAAGCCCAGTACGGCTCATGGGAATAAATTTCAGGTCGAATTAGTACAGTTTCCTTGCTGTCAGGACGGTGGAATTAATGGTGTTTTGATGACACGAATTTTGAAGGGCGAACAAAGACGCTGAAGGGAGGGAGACATGACTCCTTAGAAGCACGGTCCTCCTCTCCCTCAGCCTCTCTTGTCTTCGCTGTCATCCGTCTGCCAATCTCCCTGTCCATGGTTAGTTAAAGGCGCTTTTTATCCTCTTTTCTTTCCCACAGAGTTTGCCAGATCCGGCCCAGTGCCTGGGTTCCAAGGGGACACGCTGCAGTTGGCCTTCATCGACTTGAGACAAGTAAGTCTTTGTGTTTTTGTTTTTTGTTTTTCTTTTAAGATGTGTGACTGAAGACCATCAGGTCTTAAGGAAAAGGAGAGGAGGGGAAACGGCGTCAGTGATTTACGCCAGAGACCTATATTTCCCCCCTCCTCCTCCTCCTCCCTACGCTCGAAGCCACCTCCTTATTGAGCACTCCTGGAGATGATGGAGGTGAAAAGGGCTGGTGGTACGGGGGTGAGAAAGACTGACCCTGGCCAATGGGGTCCATTGTGCTCCTGTTGGCTTCTGCCGACGCGGCTAAAAGATAACTGGGCGACTCTCGTGGCTGACGCCAAGCAGGTGGTGCTGACAGAGAGAGCAGTGATGCAGAGACCGCCCGCCTCGAGGACTTTTGTTCACAGATAATGCCCACAGAGGCGTTTTGCGAGGGCGAAGGAATTTGCATTCGGGCTTGTGTGGGGAGGCTATGCCTGTGTGTGCATCCGTTGGTGTCCGTCTTTGGCTCGGCAGCATCCCCCCCTTCCCCAGTCCCCTCTTCCGCAGATGGTCTCCAGCCATGAATGACAAAGTGGTTGTTGGGGAAGATGATTGGGGAAGGCTTCACCCATCGGTGCCCACCTCTTGAGGGGGCCCCATTAGAGCCAAGTTGACCATAGCAGGTACTGAGGCATTTGTGGGGCTTGGCAAGCCAATTTAGGGAAAAGGGCCATTCTAGCAAGTCATTTGTTTGGGGTAGAAATGGGCATTATTGATACACTAGGCTGGGGGGGAAAAGTGAGGTGGTCCTGTCATCTCTTGGCACTGAAGATGGATGGGTTGGATAGAAAGTCTGAATGAAGTAAGACTCAATGACTGATGCTTCTCTCCTATTAAAACAATCTTTTTTTGTCTGTTAAACCCCCCTGGCTTTGTCCCTCCTGCCATCATGATGCAGTGCCTCTTTGTTTTCAGGGTTGACGTAGTTTGCATTCTGAAAACTTTCGGGTGCCGAGGGTATTTTTTCCATCTGCATAATCTCTTGTATCGATGATCTCCTTACCACTGGGACTCTGATTCATGCTGGAGCTGCTTTTAACCCGTAAGGGTTTGAGAACCTCTCTGAATCCAATTGATGTGCAGGGAGCAATCTGTCATCCCATGACACTTCTGCAGAGCAGCAATAAGTTTAATAGCATCGAGATGCCGCGCGTTTGCTTTTAGGACTTGGACCTGGCAGTAACTGCCAGATTTGTTTGCAGAATGGTCAAAATAGCTACATGGAAAAGGTGTGTTTTACCACTGCTCTGCGTTGACACTTTTATCTTCATTAGCTTCTTGGCACTTTATTGACTGCAGTACGCAACACACTTGCAACCTTCTGGGTATAAGGAAATGTGGAGGCTTTGGTCCTTTTCCAAGCACAAAGACATGAATGCAGGGATTTTGAAGAGGAAAGCTGTGGCTGTTTGAAGAATGAAATGCCTTAAAAATGCTCAGGGATGTTCAGCTGCTCTGAGCCAGTGCATTAGCAGTGAAATGTTTGCGTGGTTCATAAGTGCAAAATGCAGCCAAAAGAATTCAGCTCGGGTAAGGAGAAAGCTGAATGGTAGCTCTCTGCAGTTCTTCCTTCTCTGTCAAGTGGTCTTCTTTGTCCAAAGTGGTATTTTCTTCTTTGTTTTGGAAGGTAGTTCCAACTTTTTTTCTTGCATTTAAAAATAATATTGCAAGGAGAAAGGAGAGATGCTCTGGCCTGTTGAGTTTCAGGTGAGGACAGGCAGTGCTAGATCTTCTGGATAACAGGGATGCTTGTTGATGCCAAGTATTGTACAGATAATTGACAACACCTCATTGCTTCATAGAGAGAAGAGCCCACCTACCACTGGCTTATTGAGCTTGGCAATAACGTGCAAAGATGCGATAGTTCCCAACTCCTTTGATCCTGTTGATGACCTAATCCCATGACACGTAACATGTCACTGAACTCCATCTATGTGAGGCTTCATTGGCTGCTCCAGTGCTTCCATCACCGCGGTGCTTCTTGTTGGATGGCAGCTCCAGCTGCAAGCCCTGGGAGCAGGGGATGGCTGGAAGGGTCATGGATGAAGGTCTTTAATAGTTCTTCAACTTGTTTTTAATTCGTCCTTTTTGGACATTGCGTTCTTCTCTTTCAAGCTGCTAAATGTTAACACAATATTGACTTAAAGCTGAGAGTGGGGAAAAAGATGCCACCTTAAAGTGTTTTTGTTCCTGGCTGTTTTCTTTCTCCTTGGGAAGGAACGTCAGCATAGATCATGAAAGGGATGTTTCCAACCTGAAATCCAGACATTCTCAAAATGTTAAAAGTAATTTCAGGTTTATATTTCAGGTAGGTTTATACTTACCTTGGAGCTGCTCTGTCATTTAGTGTGGCTTAGCACAGCTTGGTTATCGCTATTCCGAGCAGACAGAATGACTTTTCTTCCCATCCTGCAACAATTCTAAATCCATAAATACCTTTAATGAAATGATAAAGTCAAGCAAGTTGCATCTCAAATCCTTCTGTAAGAGCCCTTTTATAAGAAGGGTGTGAAAGCAATACTCAAATATTTAAGCCTTTATAAGGAAGCAACAGTTATTTTTTCCCCTTAAAGTTTAAACTTTGCTGTTGCACACACTGTGCTGTATGTTAGAAATCTGAAATACATTTAGTTCCATAAATAACCTTGCTAAAATATGAAAGGTGCCTAAATAATAGAGTCTTCTGCATCTTTCTTTCCAAAGTGACTTAGGCACTTCTGTCCAGACGCTGTTGAACGTCCAAATACTGCTGAAGATCTCCAGGAGGTTTCAAATCAACCCCGAGGTTGCACGTGCAATAAGTTCCCTGTTTTCTCTGCAGCTTCTGGCCAGCTGGAAATGTTTTAGCTTTTCATTTCCATGGGTTTACTATACGAAAGTGAGTCGAAGAGGAAGGTTTAATGTTTGTCTGTGAAGTCGCTGCGCTCCACAGCCGTGCTGATCTCTCCTCGAAGCCAGATCGACACTCATGGCTGCCTGCCAAGGAAAATCTGTCTCCAGCACTCGAAGAATTTCACTCTGTGCTCTAGTGAGGGAACGTACTCGATGGATTCGAGCTCCTTGCTCTAGACCTCTCTGTCTATAAATCCTATGTGTTGAATTTCCTCTGCAAGCGCAAACTTCAGCGTCAAGGGAGATGTAGGGAAAGGCAGGCAGGTCTTGTTGGTGGCACATGGACATACAAGGGACGGGGACAGGGAGGTTCCACTCTTCTGCCCCATCATTTTTCTAGTTTACTTTATGGATGTGACTTGCCAGCGGTTAGGAATTTGAGCATTAGCACTTCAAACCCCGTCACTGAGGTTAAGACAGGCAAGTGCGATCAGTAGTTGTGGAACAGCTCTTCTGCCTACTGCTTGTCCAATAGCAAACATTTTGTGTGTCTTTTTACTGTGTTCAAAACCCAGCTGTGGTTACTGTGGGTTTGTGCTGGGTACTGGCCAGCTGGGTAATGAGAGGTCTCCCTCTGATGCATTAATTTTTCCCTATTACCTCTGATAGAGATGCTTAATAAAAGAGTGTTCCTCTCAAATCCCTGCTCTGTTCTTTCCTTCATATGGGAAGAATCCTCTCTTCTGCATTGTTGGTATCATTACTGGAGGGTGGGTTTTATTCATTTAGAAGATGAAATACAAAGTTAGGCAGGAACTTTTAGCCATGTGAAATGTGCAGTTGTTCTATCTTAAATTCCCCCAATGACTTATGAACCTTCTGGCCGTGTTTGGTTGGTCGGCTTCAAAGGTATATCAGATGATAAGTAAGGTTTTTGAAACTCCATCTGACTTGATTGTTGGCTCCTTTAAAGGCACTCAAAGGCTTGGACTTGTGCAAGGTGAGAGATGTAGCCCTGTCTCCTACTGCTACCATGTGGTCCAGGACTTCCCTACCCAGCCCCAGGCATGGTGGCCAAGGGGAATCCTTGCAAAATTGGGCTGAAGGGCCAGGGCCTCATGGGTCCGTGCCTTGACATGACAATGCAAGGCTCTGGCCACCCCTCTACTCTGTTATCCTGAGGCAGTTTAATGGTAGGAGGGTGGAGACAGTCCCTCCTGGAGCTCGGAGGCAGCATCCAGGAAAGCATCCAAGTTTGTTCCCACGAGGCAGGAAACTCTGGGTTGTTTTTTTAACTTGTTTTTATATTTGTAGTTAAATGTGGTTTCACTGACCTGCAAAGTCTAATGAGATAGTATGAAAACAAGACTCCTGGAGCCAGTCTTGAGCCTACTGAGAGAGGGAATGCCAAGGCCATGAGTGTGCAGTGGCATGGGGAGAGGCTCGTTAAATGTGAAACTGGTTTGGCTTATTTTTCCCTGCTTGTTTTACTGGTAGATGCAAGAGAAGTCAAAAATCATATTAGGGGAACAATCACTTAAGCTAACCATCTCAGCGAGATGTCTCCTCTTCACAGGTACTTGCTTGTGTCTTTGAAGCACAGGTTTCTGTTGTGAGAGAAGTCGCAGACAGCCTAGGTGCCGTGTTAATCATTGGATGCAGTAAGGCAGAGATGAAGAGGTGACTCATGGTTTTCAGCTCATCTACTTCCTTGCCAGTTGCTATATTCCATCTTCAATATGTCTGTAGATTGCCATCCTCTGGCCCACTACCTTGCCTTGTCTTTGTCCTCACTGCTCAGGTGGTTCTCCCAAGTGCCCATTACTTGGCTTTGGCCAAAGGGTGCAGCGCAGGGGATCTATACTCTATTTTTTTTGAGAAGCACTCCTGTATGTTTTACTTTCTGGTCATCTTTAGAATCATAGAATCAACCAGGTTGGAAAAGAACATTAAGATCATTAAGTCCAGCCTTTATCCCAGCAGTGCCAAGGCCACCACTAACCCCTGGCACTGAGGCCTCGGCTACCCCGGCTGTGAACACTTGCAGGGACGGTGACTCCAGCCCTGCCCTGGGCAGCCTGTTCCAATGCCTGAGCACCCTCTGGGCAAGGAATTGTTCCTCAGCTCCAGCTAAACCTGCCCTGGAGCAGCTTGAGGCCACTTCCTCTTGTCCCATCCCTTGCCCCTTGGGAGCAGAGACC